ATCGATTACACAATTTACTTTGATAAATCCCGCGACAGGTTTTGGGATTCATGCTCGGCTCACTATCGTATTGCGAATTCAATGCTTGCGGACTGGCCAGCTTTCCATCTTCTCTTTGTCGCCGGTTCTCTCGAATCCCTCCCAAATCGCACATGCTGTCGGATCGCTGATCGTCGCAACTCATAGAATCTCCACATTCGCAAAATATGACTGCAGTCTGATGTGAGCACGAACTACATAAATGTGACGTCATAAAGCCGTGCTCGCGCTATTCGTAGTGTCAACTTTAGGCCACTATAGGGAGCCCTGCACTTTTGGAAACGAGTCTACGTTAAAGGAACCGACAGTAGGCCTGAAAAATTCTAAGTTTTTAATGGATAAAGTAATCCTCACCTAAGTTCCTCATCACTGTCTTGTCTAACGCCTCCTCGCGCTTCATCACCCATATAGTAATCCTCCTCAAGGGCTTCAAACGGACGTAACTTTTCTCTGTTCTCCATCTATAACAGTTGCACACAACTTTGCCCATCATACAGCAAGTTTCTATCAAAGGAGCACTTTTGCTTCGAAACATATAAAAAGTGGTCATAACCACTTCTATGCACTCACGTACACTCAAATAAATAAAGTTTATTTAATAAACATCTTTTCAAATGGAACGCATATTAAGCTTTCTTAGCTGGCAACGACCTGTTGTACGATGAAGGCCGAAGTTGAGCCTGACCGGACAAATACTTACCATATCAGAAAGCAATAAAGAAGTCGTACACACTGCAGAGTAAAAACAAGGCATAACCCGAAGAATTGACATAATAAAATCATGAGCGCAGAAAATGAATGGACTGTGGCAATACATAAGCCTTAGTATTTGCGATACCAGTACTACGGGAAGTAAAAAAGTACGATGAGCAGCTACTGTTGGTTTTTTGAGAGGAAAAGTCCGTATAAAGGAGCACTTGAAGAGCAGGAAAGTGAGAAAAAGAGAAAAGGAAAAAATGTAGCAGACGCAGCGTCCGTAACAACCATTTGACAAGTACAAGAAATATCACTGAAGCATTTAGGTCATTTTTCATCTTTAAGAGGTGATAGATAAAAAATCGCATAGAAATAAATTTGAACAATCGAGGAAATACAGTGCACTCATCCTTGCTACGCTTAGAGTGAAGAGGGGGGAGGAGGGAATACTTGCGCTCCATTCAGTAAAAAGGGGCAATTCAACACACATTCCACGATTACAGTTCGTAAACTTTGGGATACAAATATAAATTTGTATACATTAGTTGAGTCACCAGCGGAAAGAAAATGAACAAACACAGTCGAATACACCCTAAATGGAGCCCCAGGACTGGACAAGTATTCACAGAAACGAGTCTGAGCGAGAGAGACCAGAGACAAAGAATGAGAAGAGTGGAATACGGACTGTAATGAGCAAGCTGATAAAGGTTGGTCCATCATAGAATAAACGCATGACGTCATGTCTGTGTTTATAGACGGACCGTCGGCATATCACGTCCCCGGATTGAACCCTACCTTCAGAAGACGAGGTGACTTCCACAGGCAGGGTTGCTTCGGCTCTGACGGCCGCAGCGCAATCCTCGCTCACTCTCTAGCCGAATGAGTATGAGACTGTAAGCCAGGCCACTTGCACATGGGTGGGATTCTAAGTATCAGGTAATCGCGGAATATATCTTTGAAGGCAGTAAACAGAATGGGTGTGGAACGGGCGATTACGGCCAGCGTCACTGGTGGAAGGGCTGAGTGGTATGCGACCAATCGCCCTCTCACAGCCCCTTCCACCAATGACCTTCGCAGCAACGCCCCCCCCCAGCCACCCTGCCTTCAAGCAAATAATGACCTACTTGATATATAACGAGAACAAATCTAAAGTTTCACAGAAGGGATAGCTTAGAATACTGAAAGGAACCAAAATACACTGTCTGACAGTACTACTAGCGATTGCACGATATAGTAAAGTAGAGGTTTCCTTTTTAAAACGACAAGATTAACACCCTGTCTTAAAATCAAGACCCGGTTCGAAAAAAAGACTATTGAAACGTCTGACCATTCTGATGAGTGCTTTTTCAAACTATTCGACAAGATTGCCATAAGCTTGTTCTCGCTGCGTGATGCGCTTTATGTCTCGAAGATCGTCCATTTGTCGCTTGATCACTTCTTGTAAAAGACGCATCTCCTCAGACGTGAGCTTTGGTGGGGAGCCACCACCCAAAGCACCTGGTGCGATTACCTCCATTTTCATATCCTCCACTGAAAGTACCACAAAAAAATCTGGGAAGTAAAAGAAAACAGTTTGAAAGGAAACAACCTTGTAATCCAGCTACATTGAGAAGGTTCATCACTTCCTTCAAATCGGAATTGGTCAACACTATTTTGCCATCCAGAAACATGCTCTTCAGAAGATCTCGCGAGTTCTTACTATATTTGAGAGTATCCTAAACAAACAATTTCAGTCCATTGAGAACTGGAGCGGCTTGCGCTTTCATGACTGTTTGTTTTCACACCTCTTCGCGCTTTTTGTAGAGTAACATCTCAGACATTGTGAACCACTGTTCGTGGAACACCTGCAGACTGTACTGTTCTAGGAGGCTCACCATGACCTATGTAAAGTAATAATCAAAAGCTGCATGGATGAAGAGCAAATACGAAATTTTCGGTAGTCTGATACGGCTCACCTCTCGATGACGGTTGTCGATATCGGCTTGCGCTTTTTCAGACCTCTTTCTGACCACTGACTGGTAATAGCTGAAAATATATCCAAGAAAGGTTATACAAATCTGCTTCAATAAGATAACTGCTATTAATGTCCGCTATTCGTGAAGCAAAGGTTATCACAAGATTGTCGGTTTGTGAGCTAAAGAAATGAGTCAAAACATAATGTTAAGCGCACTAGTGCAGCAAGCATGAGATCCAGTTCAAGCCTGCCCACGTTTGTTAGGCCCCTTCATGAAAGAGGATCCGCAGAAAAGCCAGAATCCGTGCGAAGAGGAGTGTATTTTGAATGTTCCTTGAAGAATCCGCATATTCGGCCGAGCCTGCGCTAGTGAAGAACCGGACGAAATCACCAAAGACCTGCAAAATTGACTATTCATGGGGGCCCCGCGCCTTTCTCTCGGGTTTCACGGGATCTGCAGCCTCAGCAGATGCTGAGGATTCCTCAGACTAAAATTATTGCAGATTTCACCGGAGTGTACGGACTATTGAAACTAGCTACTCTTTTACGTGACAGCCCAACCAAACGATACTGCCCTAATGGATCATAATCAAGATAGGAACTTGTACAGAACAAAGCATGGATATGCCAGTATTTGAAAAGAAGAAGAACCGAGGCAATTTGAACCCACTCATTCGAATAATAATGTTTAGCACGCTTTCCAGCACCAATATCCACGCGAAATGCCAGTGTGAGCAGGAAGGATGTTCAATGTCCATGTTCTAACTCTTCAGCTTTCACAAACACTGGCACTGATTTTAAAAATAATCTTCTTTGATGGTATACTACCTGATTTGAGATAATTCGTACGCGACAATTAGTCGATCGAGCATTCTCGTCATATCATTTTCAATATTTTTGCGCATATCCTCCGAAATATACGATCGCTCCTCCAGAAGTTGTAACTTAAATGGGCGCAATAGTGAGATACTGATGAAAAAAAACGTTCTATATTACAGCTTTATTTTATTTATAGGGGAAGATTCTAAGTGCAAAAGGTACCTCAATGTACTTATAAGCGGGAACAAGCTGGGTGCCTATAGCATTTTCAGCACTGTCTCCAGGAGGAACCAGTTCTATTCCATTAGCAAAATCAACTCGAATTTGTGCCATAAAAGCATTCACAACAGACGCTCTGAATAGAAAACATAACTGTTATCAAGATGGATTTCTAAAAGGAAGAAGAAGGGCCCTTTAAAACTAGGTCGATGACCATCGTACGAGAAAGCAACACAATCAAAGATTCGAACAACTGTCAGAGTTAAGGGTGATAGAACTGTACTGTTACACTCCTTGCCCCTGAAACTGATTCGAACATGGCATAGAATGGGATCTCGTGGGGTGCTCGTGGGAAACACATCACAGGCACAGCCACCGCCACGTTCAGTTGAAGCACGCAGCAACGCCTACCGCATCTCAGTGATTTCGAACGTAAATGGAGGAGTTGATATAGGGGTAAGTGATGTGGGGTTGCACGTCATGCCGTGTCCAAGAGCTCACGTCCTGCCCCGAACCTGACTGAACCACCAAACCCTTTCATCCCTGCGGTGCTGGAAAATTGGTATCGGAATTAATGTCTGGTAGAACACAAGCACGATTTGTGCGTCTGCTGATCTCCGCAATTCATCGTTTAGATGAAACCACTTCCAAAACGCAGCTACTATGGCATGGGGAAGTAAAGTGGGCGGCGCATCTCAAGGAAAGTGCTGTTCGCCTCGGGAAAGGGAGCTGACATTTCGCATCCGCCAGTTCCTTGTGTTATTTCATATTGACCAATAGGTCTCGCTTTGGTGAGACCTGTAAACTTTTAGGAAGCTGCAAGACCTGGGGCCGTACGCTATACTTCCCCTCGAAGGGGAGATATCCCCAGTAAATCTCCGCTCTGTGGCTTCTCTCTAACGATGCCCCTCGTCTCTCTGCTTCTGCCTCTCTGCATCCTTGCTCCCCACTCTCGCGAAATCTCCCCCAACGACATTCGCTGGGGGAGAGGGGAGCATATCGATTATACTCTGCGCTGCACTATATTCGCACAGAGCATGCGCCAGAAGGGTATGGATGCAGAGTGGCGAGAGCGAGAGAAACGACGGCTATCAGTAGGGATAACGGCAGGGAGTGGAGGTTAGAAGGGGATATCTCCCTTCGAGGGGGAGTGTAGCATTCGGCCACTGGAGAAGCTTCGCTGAGCACCATTCGCTGCTCCCACCAAGCCGATCTGCGCGCAAGGTGACTAATCAGTGCTCGAATGTCCTCATTTATCCTCACTGCTAAAAGGATGACCACTTCATTGAAGCCTTCAAATGGAAATTTGGAAATTCTTCATACAACACTCATTCATCACCAAATCCATGTGTTCCCAATTCATATGTTGATAAAATATATGGACATCGTACAATTACTGGATAAAACAGTCAAACCCACGCTCTGAATCCGAATAAGCCGTTACCAAAAGCAACATTTCTAGCAAACTCTTCATCCAAAGAGTCATCACCATTCGGAGCAATGAACAGGGGCACATCTTGCAAGACTGCTGAGCGCAACTAAAGAAAAGAAAAAGAATGATCCCGATAAATCAGTTAATGTGAAAAACTGACATCGTTACTTAATGCACCATGTAGCAACAAATTTTGCTTAGGATTCCATGGATCCCCACGGAGATGCCTAAACAGCCGCATCGTCAACGCCAAATCTGCATGGTTCTTGATCAATTTCGAAGCAGTGTTAAAATATCCATTCATAATCTAAACGAGATATCAAAACTTCTTCCAGCAGAAAAATGAAAAATCATTTACAGAAAAAAGCAGAACCGATCGAAGCAATTACATCTACGTAATCCAAAGACTTCGGGAAATGTGTTTTGTTCCACGTTTTATCATGAAAATAGTACCATAGATTGCCAGCATCTTGATCACGCTCACTCAGATAATCGAAATTGTCTAAAAGACAGCCAGCATCTTGGAATTGAGGTAACAGACGGAATTCCTTTTTTTTTAGAAATAGAGAACACAGGCTACACACCTCACCTCACCACCTCACCTCGGTAAATCTCATCACTGTGAAGGTTTATTGGCACAAGCTCCTTCAAATTTTATTGGTTCGCACACCTCGCTTTCCCGTGTTGGAATAACACTCGGTATTAGATAGCGTTCAGACTTCGCGACGGCAGCGCTTCTGTCGCGCGTTCGACGCGATCGACGCAGTTCAAATCGTGCATCGATCGCGTCGAATGCGCGACCGAAGCGCTGCAGTCGCGAAGTCTGAACGCTGGCTTACCTAACAAATAACTGGTGAAGTGAAAAACAACTCACAAAATACTTCATCTATATCGTCGCTTTCTCGCAACAATGTGTCGACAACGTTTCCGGCACCATCAGGCTGCTTATCGCCCAGGCGGCCTAAACAAAGAATAAATTTCAGCTACTTCAATGGACAGTTAGAATTCCTCTCTAAGTGTACCATGCAAAGTTGCATGTATATATTCCAATGCAGCTTTCTGATACTCATTATCGATATAAGAACGCAAGGCTGCTTTTTCCACAGTCGAATCTCGGAGAAGTTCAGTTCGCCGCATAGCGGCACGGCGACGTTGTATCCGTCGAAGAGTTTCCAACAGTTGTGCAGCCTTTATGGCGGCTTCTTTCTGTAATGTTATAACATTCACAGCAACCAGTTTTGAGAAAATGGAATAAAACCAACCTTTTCAGCTCTTTTTCGTATAGTATCCTCTAGGAACTTTTCGACTGCTTCCTTAGATACGAAAGGTTGACATATAATTTTATTCGGCTTGATCTGAAATGACAAAAATTTCCTTTAAGTGCAGTAAAGCCATTGAAAATCCTCGATAATTCTGAAAATGCATCATGAATCGGACAACTTTAGTCTAGATCTTCATTCAGCATTTCTATGTAATGGAAGACTTTCATCGCTATTAGAATGGAGTGCTTTTAGCACCCCCCCCCCCCCGCAGAGACAATATGAGAGACCAGCAGCCTTCCCAAACCCCATACCGCCGGTATTCAAGGAAGTAAGCTATCGCGTATCCCGTCTCCCTTTTTTATTACAGCGACTAATGTAAGGGACGGGAAAAAAAGGTAAATCTGGTCAAAAAAACTAGACAACGACAAACTAACCAGGCTTGGAGGCATGAAAGCACTGAGGGTGCACAGAGAGCTGAGAAAGCCAAACTTTGACAAGTGTATTTAAGTTATTCACATGAGGCTGGCTTCTTTCCACATGGGTCAATTTATATGTGTCCTTCACTTAGTTGATGGTAATTGCGTGATTCTGCCTGATTCGTACTAGAGAGGTTAATGGTATCGTAACAGAACTTAAGCTAACATGATTTGTACAGGTAAAATGTCTCACCATAATGGCGCGTTCTCTTTTGTTGTGATTTTTTGTCGGGAAGATCGCATAGGGTTCCACCTTCGTAGTGCTCTTCAAGATACATTAGCCGTTCAGGCGTGGACGTCTGAAATGTTCAAGAAATAAAGTGCCTTCACCTAAAATGCTGAGATCAGCCCGGTCCCCGGTCGCGCAACTTGCTGTCCATTTGCCTCTCACCCCTATTTAACAGAAAGCGCCCAGAACTGCAAAGCATGAATAGAGAGTCAGTCCTTGCGATTACTGAAGTGCTAAAGGGAGAGCGTTTGCGCAGTGACATTCACCTTTCAAGCACATTTTACAACTTGATTCCAATAGCGTACAATCCGTAGTAGACACATCAAATACAAATAACCGATACAAAATAACCGCATTATAATTTCGCTAATTGGAAGCTTATGGCTTGCCCTGGGGCAAAAGAAAATGGGCCTTGCGTCCGAAGGCTGCAATAAGAGGTTAACAAACTTCTTACATACCCCAGTTCTCATTTCTTTTATAGTTCCCCCAGAATAAGAGTACAGCAGCGGAATTGATGCTAAGATCCACGGAAAAAGGCTGCATCCATGTGTTGCTGCTGTCGACCATTTCTGGTTCTTAACGGAAAAGAGAAGAAGAACGACACTCAACGAGGCGTTAGCGCCAAGATTACTACATTATCCACAGCTCTTCAATTCTACACTCATTTTCTGGTCTTGATGAGATCGACTAAGAGCCGATCATGGTTTCTCCCATTGGTCAAAAACACCTTCAACTACGGTTGCCTTATGCAGGCGATCTTCTTCGCTCGCACTCCAAACGGCGAAAGAAACGATCCTAATCCCACGTAATACTTTGCTGATTACCATTGTGCTTCTTCCACCACATCTTTTTCATCTTCCCCAAAGAAGCCCCGTGAATTGAATAGAATTCGAAGATATTCCACGGAACGTATTACATAGTTCGAATCGTGAAAATCTGCATGATTGAAGAATTAGAAAACTGGGGTTCGGAAACGGAAACATCGTAAACCATTCGACATACACCTACCGCGTCTTGTTGGCGAAGTCTCTGGTTCTACAGCACAAACTTTAGCCTATGAGCGTGAGCTACTTCAATAGGTAAGAGCCGTCATCCGATCATAACAAGCAAACAGTTAATATCTAACCTGATAATGTGGAACGTCATACTTTCCAAGAAAGAAACCAAGAGAATTGGTGATTTGTTGGGCTTCGTTTTCTGAAAAGTATTGCACTGATGAGAAAAGAATAAAACTTCATCAAAAACAGAAATGCTAACATACTTGCTCCGTGCCACTGTTTCACATCTTTTCCTCTACACAACTTGTAACTCCACCAGCCGTTATCCTACAACCAGGGAAAATAATGCAAACATAAAAATACTGTTTATGGTAAAGTTCACACTACAAAACTTTGGTTGTAAAGCTTCTGAGACGTTCAAAAACACCTTGCTGATGCAGTTCTTCACATAGAAGCTGGCTGAAACCAATTCAGCCAAGTACTTGGGATTATAGCTCTCTGCCTGGACTTTCTCGGGAGCTTGGGCTTTTGGCATTTTGCATGCGAAATTCTGACCAGTCTTGCTCTTGATGAAAATATATCCCTCATCTCCGACCTAAAATATACTGTAATTACAATATAAAGGCATAAAATGAATGAAGCGGAAAATTCTGACATCACCGTGGCAAATTCTGGCCACGATGCTTTTTCAGTATCTCTCTTATTTCTCCAAAGAAACAGTGCTCAAAATTGAAGGCAGGATCGATTCGCATGCCAGAACAGAGAAAATGATCAGGTTCATACCAATGCTTCCTAAATTCAACGGAAACCCTGATGATTCAGTATTTGCAGTTAGTATCCAGGAAACCCTCACCTAACTTCATCTACGTCATAGAAACCAGAAAAACAGATAACTGGTAAAATAAATAATGATATGGACAGCACTACAACATCTTCAAGGCGCATGGCTCCTCACATCCGCCACCTCTGCAAAGGAAATTGAACGCCATCAATGAAAATAGAATGCAGAGAAATTCAAAAGCGTCAGAAAGGTAAAGGTATTCTCGATAATGGACGGATTGCAAAGGTGAACGGGGAATAAACAAAAGTATTTTTATCAGAGAATATCAGAAACTACATCCATTGGGGAAAAATCAATCTGTAAACCAGCAAATACTTCAACAAATAAATGAGCAATGAAAAATTAAAATTGTGTTTTTTACATCATCTACAACAGGGATCGCAAGGCCAACCAACACCGTACCAGAACAATGTACGAAGTACAGCCAAAACAGCGAACAATGTGGAAGAGATCAAAATGCCAAGCATACGAAAAACAGTTTTAAATAGCGACCACCGTCACACAGACTGAACAATCTTCTAATATATTGTCTCATTCATCTTCTTCTTTCCTTCAGCCGCTTCCTGAAAAGGCGGAAATGTAATACGGAATCAGGGCTAGAATAGACGGAAAATTGCATGAATGGAACAAACCCGGAATCTTTCTTCAAACAGTGAAAGCTCAGCAATAAGATCAGTAATCGCGTTGATCAGAGCATCTGCTGGAGTAGTTTGTCCGGTTGTTTGAACCCGCGCATATCTGAACAACCTGCATGCTGATGCACGCGACTGAACTCGAAACGTAAGGTCGACAACTGAAGAGCTTTTCATACTGACTTTCTTAAGCAAAGGTATCGCGAACGGCGGTCAAATGTTGGGAAATCCGCAAAGCAGATATGAAGAGCGCAAAATTTCTGAATATGGTTATAAGTGTTGTGCAGTTGACCTACTTAATGAAATCTCAGCGTTATGAAGCATAGTCCATTATTCTCGCCTGTACAACATCCCCGGTGAGAATGAGCGAGAGCTACAAATCAAATAGGAGTCGTGAACAATGCCTATGAATTAATGGGTCCGTGCTGAAGAGTGGTGTAAAGCGGAGCCAGAAAGATCCCCATCCTGAACTTCCTGATTTCCCCCCTTTGTCTTGACTAACCATCTCCGCCAAGTTTTTCCGCACCCTTGCTAACCCTTTTCCCAATTTCCCAAAATCTTATTGGCTTTTTTCCGAAAAATATCACCGATCAAAGGGAGGGGGCGTATAGAAGAAAGCATCCGGAATATTTACCAACGCCAGTCGTAAAATTCTAGTCAAGTAGGCAAAGTCCCTCGCAGCCCCTTATCACAACCAAGCAGGCTCCAACGATTCTGTACCCTGGCTACCGCCCTAGTGGAAGTTTGCTACATTTGCCAGTTCCGCCTCAACCCTTTATCGACGAGATGACGTTGAACACCTGGCGAACGTGCAAGCGAAGAGGAAATAGTAAGCCTCAAGGAGTAGCCAGTGCTGCCATCAGAAGTCACTCTTCAGTGGTTTGACAGGACTAGCAAATACTCAACAAAAGAAGTTTATAGAAGAAATAAACGAAAGGAGATAGAAAATAAGCATTACCTTATGTTCCAAAGGATGTGGGTTTTTGTAACCAGCGAACGGAGCTAGAAAATAAGCATTACCTTATGTTCCAAAGGATGTGGGTTTTTGTAACCAGCGAACAGAACCATCGGATCTTTCAACAGTTGGCTGAAAAGGTTGAATAAATGCCCGAGTTCTCCTAGAGAATGCTCGCATCTAAAGCCACGTCATCATTGGCAAATGAATAGCACGCGCAGCTGCGCCATTCATCGCTTTCACGTGCAGTTAAAGAATTCAGGCGGAAAACGTGGTAACTACGAAAATTTTCCGAAGAAAAGGGAACGCACAGGACCCTCCCAACAAAAAACTGTGATATCGGCAGCTATGAAATCGAAATATGAACGAATTCTTTTCGTTCTAGATGAAAATTTTTCGAGCAACGAATCAACAGAGCTCGACGGATTCCGTTCTGTTGCCCACCGCCCTCACTCCAAAACTAACTGCAAGGAAAAGCACAGCAATCGCTGAGGCGCTGCAAAGAACGCCAACTCTACCTCTCTTTCGCATGACCGTGTCTGCCCGCTGTTTTAGGCGTAAGAATACAGCAACGGAAAATATTTCGTTAGAAATACATCATAGTGGCTTGTTGAATGTCATACGGTCTATATATACACTGCAAGCGGAGGTAGTGGCAAGTGGCACTCTTACCAGTCCAGGGGTCAAATCAAGAATCAGCTTCCGCCCAAGCTAATGAAGCCTTCTGCCCTCTCCAGGTAGAGTAACTTGGTACTAGATTTGTGACAGATATAAACACTGTCTTGTACATCGGGTGGAGACATAATTTCACTATAAGCAATATCCCACTCAATAAGCCACTACGATTTTGAATGGAAGTGGAATGTGTGCCGCACCCCGAATGGGACTGATTAACGGCGAAGATCACTCTTTCTCTCTCGTATTGCAGTATTGTATTCCATTTGTTCTTGAAGTAACTCTGTCATTGCGGCAAGATGTAAAGAAACGAGACACGACTCAGCCAGGAAGGCGAATAATCATGGCTGCTTTACTTACTGCTTTAGCATATTCCCCAGAGTGTGATCTTCCTTATTGATTGTGAACACAGCAGCATTTGGAACCTGAGGATCACAACAGGACACGTACTCACTAAAACTTGCAATAGCTACCACATATAAAAGTACAAACCAAACCTTCGTGTCATTTTCGACTGATATCTTCCTCTCTCCGTCAAAAATCAGGAATGATTCGAATGCAGCTGGAGCGTTCATGACGAAGAATAGTGTAGCTTATGTCCAAATCTTGTAGGATGCCACCTTGGGTCAACAAGCGAGCCAAATCCGAAGGTAACAGTCCCAACAAATGGAAAGTGATGTCCAAATGCGAAACTTGTGCCAAAACGAGCTCAACCGTCCAATGAAGTGATTGGACCGCGATTGCAGAAACACCTCAAACGACGGGTAAAGTCGCTTGGCGTAAAGCGCTCACAGGTGGAGCAGATCACTGCTTCTGTCTCACTTTACATTCATAACTGAATGAACTACATCTAAGCTACGAGAATAAGGCACGAAAATAACATGCAGTACAGATAGTAGGAGGTGATATATAGTGTGTACATTACATGTCCCCTTCCCTTCCCTCTACGCTCGCCTCCGAGTCATCGAGGCGTAGTCGTGGTCTCAAGATCTCAATGTCGGTGTTATTGACAGCAGCAAAAGGTTTCCCGCTACACGTTTCTGTTTCAGCAATAGAACCTCTGCACCGCCACATCCTTTTGTTGCAACTGCCAAAATTTCGACCATTCCTGTTTTTCCTGTTAGTGCATGAGTGAAAACCTTAGTCTACCAGAAGAACAGCGGCTCGTAAAAAAGGGCTCGAATCTCAATCGACCCCTTTAACAACAAAACAAGAAGTAGGGAAGCACTTCCGTATTCATTACCAGAAACCAGCCTTTTCGCGGAACAGTAGCTAATTTCTCCAGCAAAGGAGAAGAAATGCAGAGTTCCTGTACTCATTACTTAGAACCACCTTCTTCACAATT